TGACAGTCGTCTAAAGGAGTAAGGGGATTCTTTTCAATTTTACTTTATATGTTCTATAGTTCTTTCACTACTGGCTCCAAAGGAAAGGGAACAAAATATTGCAGCGTTGCGTTTGCCTTTACCAAAGCGAACAGTTATTTAGAATAGTTGTTAGTTTTGTCTCTTCTCTTACATAATATGCAGAGATTTTTCATACAGAAGCTAACTGCACTGTTCAAAGGCATCTTTGCAAGTTGCACCTCACTCGATCAATTCCTGTGTTGCATGTGTTTCTTTCATTGGTGCTTTTGAGTTTTGATTAGGGCTAGGCATATCGGTTTCGCTTTAAAACAGGTTGAGAGAATTATTACCAAACAAAAACCATACTCTTCCATTGAAATTTGCCAACTTCTCATTTTTTGTTGTCCCAAAAAACTTTGTCACTTTCCTATCAAAGCAACTAATTTGTGGTTTTGCACATTTCTCTCTCCTTTGCACAAATCTCAACCACACAGATTTTACTATTTTTATTTCTCACTTACTTTGCACTTGGCAAAGTCCATCGGGACGGAGGTAGTACTATTTTTCGGTTTGGTTTGGTTGAATTTGTTGTTTTTTAATAAAATATGAAGGATTATTTGAATTTCTTTATTTCGGTTCGGTTTTGTTTGTTTTTTTCGGTTTCGATTTAATACGTTTGGAAGAAATACTGCAAAACTAAAACCAAATTGCATACGGTCCGGTTTCAGTTCGGTTTAGTTTGGTTTGGTATGGTTCGACTAAACCAAACCGCTATGTCCACCCCTAGTTTTGATACTTATTCAATTCCTTTCACCGAGTTTTTTCCCTCTTTTACACTACAAAATTACATTTCATTAAGATTGTCTAATTTTTCTTTTTTTCTAATATATTTTCTTTTTAAGAAGCTTCTCTCTTAAAAATTAAAGCATCCTTGCAAGAGTAATATCTATGTGGACATGTGGTTCAAACTGATTCTTAGTTTTGTATTGATACTTAATCAATTTAATATCAATAACATAAATCTACATTTCTTAAAAGTTGCACTGTTCTCTCATATTTGATCTCCAATCTTAGGGATATGAAAGTAGTACTAGAATAAAATCAGCAATTCTTGGTGTATAAAATGTGTACACTTTTTGCACATTCATTTGTGTATACAGATAATTATTGCCTTTTTTGAACGAATTGCATGTGTACACAAACAACTATGGAATGTGTGCATAAAAAGTGTACACATTGTTGGGTGAATTGGTGTGTATAATCAGAAAATAAAGAAATTAATTAATTAATTAAAAACAGGGAAGAAAACAGAAACAAAATGGGACAGAAAGACAAAGCTTGTGCAGCACACAATTTCTTTAAAACGTATTTGTTGTCTTCGACGGTGCTAGGAGCGTTGCAGCGATAGTTTTCCGAGATATGGTGACTACGAACAACCGTATGAGCACACAATCGGTTATTCCGGCAAACGGAAACAAAGTATGAGCAATTAAGAATTTTAAGAAAGTTAAAGGCATTTTAGCTGAGAAACAACGTGCAAACCGTGTATTTCGTGTGTTGTTGAGAATCACTTGCCAGCTATATGTAGGGATGAATTAGCTGTGTGTTAACTGTTAAGTGAGTTTTAATGGATTAGAACGTTGTACATAAAGGGTCTAAACATTAGGCATTAATATGTCCAAAAACTATCCATATAAAGACGCATTACAGAAGAAGAATTGGGAAGATACAAAAATTAAAACGTAGCGTTGGATGACATTCATTTCAGAAGGTCGCCTGCGTACTACAGCATCCATGTTTTCCAAATTTGGAAAACTAGTAAACCTCACTTCTCCAATTCACTATGGAAAACATAGACATATCTCATTTTTCAGTTTTGGAAAATGATTTGATGAATGCATTTTTCTGTTTTCCTTTCTCCATTGTTCCGGACATATTTTTCGGGTAAGCACGTTTTCTGGTTTCCCTTTTCCAGTTTTCCAATTTTCTGATTTCAATTTTCTGGAAAACTTAAAAACACCTCTTTTAGTAAACAGACTCTTAACTTTTAGAACTAAGAATTAAGAGTTCAACAAAATATTATACCTAATGGCTAATAAGTAAAATAGCATGTTTTAAAAAGTTCGGTTTGTTCGGTTCGTTTATCAGAGGTGAAAATCAAAACACAAACCAAACAACTATGTATCAATTTGATTTTTGAGATCGATTTCGATTTTCTTGCACTTTAGATTGTTTTTCATGCGGTTCGGATTTTGTTGTTACCCTTTTCAATTTTTGACGTCATTTTCACTGTGGCTCATCCGGAAACAGTCTTTTTATGCTTTAGTACAGGGGTAAGAGTAGATGGAGGTTTTGTGGCACCGGAATAATGATGCTGACGACGATGTTTGATTTTCACCCTAGCATTTGGGAGTACCTTAGAACAGACACAACACTGCTATACATGTCGTGTGTCCAATCTTTTTTGGTGACTTCTTGATTTGATCTTCTTTCTTTTAGAAATGAGTAGAATGTCTTCAAGATTTTGCATTTAATGAAGTTTCATTTTCGTATAACCGCTTGAATTTATAGACTTAACTAGTTGGTCCGAGAAATGACCGAAATACTAATTGAGGGTATGTTTAGGAGTTAGGTTTTGAAGTAGAAGTGAAGGTTGATGATAGTTTATGATCCCCCATTTCATGTTTAGGAGTTAAAAAATTGGAGGTGATGATTTTGGAAGGCTTTTTTAACTCCTTAACCTCTTCAAATTCTCCGATTTAGATGTTTTTTGAAAGATAACAAAATAAAAGATAATTTTAGTCCAATTGTAAATGAATATACAAGTACAATATTTAATTTGATATATATTTTAAGTGATTTTAAATTTTTAATTACAAATTCTTCGTAGCCACTCTTTTTTCAAATTTACAGCTCTAAAACAAAAGTAAAGGTTTCTTTCACTTCTCCTCCCGTTCTCACTCTCATGATCAACCTTCAAAATTCTTCCCTCTTCCTCCCCCAAACTTTCAAACATATCCTAAGGGTGTGTTTGGGAGTTGAGTTTTGGAGGGTAAGGAAAGGTTGGCCACGGTTTGTGACCTCCATCATGTTTGGAAGTTAAAAATATGGGGGAGAAGGTTTTGGAGGGCTTTTATCACTCTCCAAAACCTTTCAAATGCTCCATTTTCAAGTTCCCCCAAATTGGGGGATTTGAAACGTCATTAATTAAATGACAATTTTAGCTCAATTTAAATCAATATAAATTCAACTATTTGAATTCGTCATATAAGTGAAGTGATTTTAGTTATAACTCATTTATAACTTCTATTTTTAAAAATTTGTTACTCCCAAACAAGAAGAAGGGTCTTCTCCTCTTCCCTTCCCCTTCCCTTCTAATGACTAACCTTCAAAACCTTCTCTTCCCTTCCAACTCCCAAACATATCATAAGAGAGTAAGAATTGTGTATCCTAAACTCTTATAGGGAGATACACTTACAATGTGGATAGCTACACTCAAACACAGGATTTATAATCTGGTTACGAAAATACATACATTTCAACAAACTTGATGCACAGTACAATACAAGAAGCAAGTAACCTCCTAAAACAGGGATTTTTGCCCTATCAAAAAACAAAGACCAGGAAAAAACAACCTTAAAGGGTTGTCATGGCAACTAAGTTGCCAGGCCATAGCCTCTGCACCATTACATCTCTTCTCAGTATTCTTTGGTACACCAAGTTCTCGATATCCCACTACAAGGTTACTAAAGGAAGCAAAACCAACGCGATAAATTGAAACGGACTATAACGATTATGGGCCACTGGAAGAGCCAAACTTGATCATGAAAGAGGCAGCATTCACATGTACCAGAACCTGAAGAGTTCTAACAGGACTTTTGATAAGCCTGCAAAAAAGACATGTGGATAACTTTATGCCAGAGCTTCATGATTCATACAGCTCAGACGTTGGAGTATCATTAACCCATGAATCCCTTGAGTTCAATGCCCCCTTTGGGCCAAGCCCGCATGGATTTGTTTGTGGATACTTTCCAAATGGCCTCAAAGTATGGAGTTGGGTAGATACTCCCTTCTTTTTCCAATGTGGGACACCACTTCATACCGGCACACCTTATATAGTCTTAAGAAAGGATATCACACTTCCACAAGTTCTCCACTAGAAGTTCAATGGCAGTACTGCTCATGCCTTTACATTGCTGGAGATTCAAACCGAGCAGATTCTTCCCCAGTTTTTTAAGGGAAGAGACGCTCTTGTTTGATACCATAAAGCAACCGGAGAGGGAAAGAATCTCCAAATTCATCTGTATACCACGAGATAAAGCAGCCACGCCGGAATTAGTTATAGAACATTTTGAAACATCGAGGTCATTAAGAAAGGGACAGGTGTCAGCCAGTGCCACTAAGCTGGCATCTGTCATCTTCATGCATCCATCAAGATTCAGCACTTTAAGTGTCTGCCTGTGCCACCTCGACAGGGCAAACACCACCTCATCTGACAGATTTAGGCAGCCGCTGAGGTTGACCTTGACCAGTCCTGCCTCGGAACTCTCTAGAAGGGAGAGAAGAGCGGCATCTGTTATCCCGCAAAGTCCGCTGAGATCCAACTGGAGCAATTGAGGACAGAGCTTACCCACCATAGCCAAGTTTGTACTGCCAAAGCCAGGACAGTTTCGGATGGACAATGACTTCAGTGATTTGCATGGAGGCAGTAGCAAGGGTGTTTCTGTCATTATATCCTTTATACTGATGCATTTTACCAAAGAAAGTGACTTTAACTTATGACAGTTAGAAACTGCGTTGAGAACCCCTATTTGAGTGATTCCATTGCATTCTTCCAACTGCAAGCTTTCTAGGGTTCCAGAAGCAGCATTGGTGAATCCGACCAGTCCATGGTCAGACACGAAGCAACACTTGCGTAGGCTCGTATGTTTCAGGTTCGGACAACCCTTTCCCAAAGCTACGAGACTAACATCTGTCGTTCCCCTACATGAAGTGATCGTCAAAGAAGTTACAGCCTTCAGACCGTGAGCATTACCCATTACCCAGAAACCTTTCTCGCTCACGTTCTGAAGTGAGCCAAGAGCAAGGGACGAGATTGCCTTCCCATAATGTCCGATGACAGCAAGTGAGAAATCTGTGATCTTTAAACCTTGAAGTTTCACTCTTGTTAGGACGGAAGGACTCGATGACAGAAGAGTGGCAACACCCTGATCACCAACAAGAGGGCAATCCTTGATGGTTATCGACTGCAATAAAGTACAGTGCCTTCCAATGGCTTGGAGTCCTTCATTCCCTATATTAGGGCATGATTCAATCGTTAAAGAAGTTAGAGAAGGACAATTTTCGGCAATTGCGACTAGACCTTTACTAGAAATTACAGGACATTGACAAAGATCGAGCTTCTCCAATGAATGGCATTCGTTTGCGATCTCTATGAGACCTTCATCTCCAACGGAAGGCACATTCCATAGGGAGAGGGCCTTAAGGTCAGGACAACCCCGTGCAATTGCTGATAGACCAGTGTTAGTAAAGTTCCTCCCTCGGACAGAAAGCTTGCCGAGTCCACCACGGCTCGAAGTCCCAATGGCAATGGCGGCAAGTCTAATATCTGTAGCCTTTTCCCCTTCCAGAGACCTTGTTAGGTGTCCATCGTGGTCTCTTTCAGAACATTTTTCTTCAAATAGGTGGTCCCTGCCCTTGCATATTTCGGAACTGCGGAGACTACTCAATAGCATGAGCCAGCGCTTGGAAACGCAAGCAGAAGCACTCCTTTCGCGACTTCCACGCAGATGCCTAAAGATCTCAAACAAGCACTCGTCGGGAAGGATTTCAATTGATGGTTTCTTTGCATGTTCTTCAACGATGAACGGACAAGGGAGTCGGGCCCGCTTCTTAGGTGGGCAGTAAACATCCGTATAACCGAGGGATAAGATAAGGCCTAAATCCGCAGAACATAATGAGCTGCCAGTGTAGAATTCATCATCACCTGAAAACCAGAGTGTTGTCACTATGTTTAGCATCTTTCGTCTAGTTGAACTGCCTAGATCTTACATACCTTAACATTGACTAGCAAATGAATCATAAAATGTGAACACTTTTGAATTATAACCAGCCACATAATAATATGTTTATTCATAAACATTCAAGAGTATAATATACCAGAATCTAGCATTCTAGCAACTATTCCAGATGGTTAAAATATTGTTAAGCCATCCAAGATGGGACGGATACAAAAACACAAATCACAACATAAAACCTTATATTCTTATATCAGTGGAACAGACAAATCTTGAAATTTGTGTTTTTTTTAGTTGGATCTGTGGCTCATTTGAGCTAAATTCAGCCCTAATACCTACTTGAGTTTCTACTATTTTGCATTTGGCCTGTATAAGATGTCTTTTTTAGAGTATACAAAAACACAGATCATAAAATCACAACATAAAATTTATAACCCCAATCAATCCCTTCTCTCTCTCGTTCACCTGACTCCCGGTAGCACACATCACATTTGCACATTGTTCAACAAAGAATTGAAACAGATTTTGAATTAATTTCTATATCAACCAAACAAGGACAAGTTCACACATAAATTCTTCAAAACTCCAATAAATTAAACTAGCCCAAAAGAGACGGAAGAGACTGATGAACTCACCACTGCGATTTACAAGGGTAGACATGTCTGCTGTTTTTCAGAAGGTAACTCGGAAAACTGAGTAGAAAGATGGGACTTTCCAACAAGACGAGCAAAACCCAGATTGGAATTCCGGCCAAGATTAGTAGTCCAGATAAAAAGTCCTGTTTTTGAAGAAGATAACCCCACTTGCAGACTGCAGTAGGGGAAAAATAGAAGATTAGAGAGGGAGGAGGGAGGTAGAAGAAGATGATGCAGTGTTTTCGAGTTGTGTCTGCGTATTTATATATACTCCAGGAATTAATTTTTTAAATAAACAAAGGGAAATCACATTTAAAAATGGAGTTAAATGTATTTGGTGAGATGTCAAGAACTTCAACGGAAGAAGCCATGGTCTGTTTCTGGCATTCCTAATCGTTCAATGAATCGTTCCCAAAAATGGGCATTTCCGGTTTATCCGTTCAGACCTCGCCACACGGATCGTTCGTGGTACGTGGCAACGAACTTAAATTGCGCCCCACTATTCATTAGTCATTACGGAGTATTAATCATTACTCCGTATTTTTTATAGGGTAAATGCATGAGGTAGAACCACCATTAAAGAGGTTTATAATTTTTCTAGTCTTGTATAGTCGATCTAATTTGAACTGATTTGTCTTGTCTAAAATGGTCTGATTTAATAGATGTCAAATCTTTTCCAAATTTAGTTTGATCTGATCTGGTTTGGTATATGATTAAAAACAATCCAACTAAAAACATTCTAAAATGAAAAGTTTGCACGGATAATATAGGTTGAAATTCCAAAATACAAATACTACTCCGTATATTTTTTATTTAGATATGAGTAAATTATTGTTAATGAAATTACACTATATATTTTGGCACTATATACATTAATTTCCTAGGGCACCCAAAAAAAATAAAAAAAAATAGTTTTAATTGGAATGAACTTTCTATTTTGATTTGGTTTGGTTTGGTCGAATCCGATTTGATACATGTATGTTTTATGTGTATTTTACAACTATCAAAGACTGGTCTAGCATGATCTAATGTGATTTGATCATTTAAATCTGATATGGTTTGTACTGTTCTAAAGCTGAATTAACACAATCGAAGACATTAGCAATTTCTTTACAAAACGAAGAAGTCATATGTAGTAGCTCTTTTGCTTAGGGTATGTTTGACACAACTAGCTAACAAATCACTTTTGCGAATTTTTAGTAACTTTTAGCTTTTAATAACTGAAAAATATCTTAAAAGAAAAATAGGTTGTAGATGTTTGATAAAGAACTGATTCTTTTATTTAGTTTTGTTTAATATAACAAGTTGTTGTGACTAATTAATGCTAAAAGTTACATGCTTTTCTCAGATATTACTCAATGTAATTTTAAAAAAGATCTTTTTACTTGCAAAAAGCGAAGTATTGCCATGCCAAATACACAGCTAAGCATTAAACTTTTAATTTGACTTAACTCCCAAAAAGTTTTAACATCTGAAAATATCAAATCACTCAATGTAAGTAGATCAGGACGATCTGCCTCTTGCATGGCACATGGGGATGGTGATTGAAGACCGGGACTTTCGGATTCCGCACTCTCTTTCTTGGGGTGGATTCAAATTAATACCCGTTTAATTTAAACATCATTTTCATCATATGTCGTTCTCTCTAGGCCAGGGCCGGCCCTACAGGGGGTGCAACGGGGGCGACTGCCCTAGGCCCAAGAAAATAGGAAGAAAAAATAGGCCCAAAAATATTTCTTTATATGTAGTGTGAGTAGGTTTCTTTTTTTAATTTTTAAACTCAATTAAATAGGCACAAGGTCTAATTTTTAAAAATAAATGTAAAGAGGCATGTGTCTCTTAATTGTCTTGTCTTCACATTTCTATGCTTTATAATCCTCTTAATTACAATATTACCAAGTTATGTTAAACTCATCCAATTCCAAAACTCCCAATTGGTAAAGCCCATCCAAATTGATTTGTTTCCAAATTCCAAAATTAACAAGTGTAAAGAAGGCTGCAAAGCGGTGAGTGTCTCAACGGTTTGTTAAGAAGTCAATCAATCGAGGAGGCCAAACGGCGGTCGGTGACAAAAAAAACTTCTTCTTTCAAGGATTCAAACAATCCAATAATGACCAATAAACTATTCTTGATAAAATGGGTGAACCAGGTTGGGATAAAGAGAGAAAGACGAGAAGATTAGAAAAAGCGGGCTTAAGTCAGAAGGGGTCAATGGAAAAATTTGTTTTTGTTAAGTAATTGAATTTTGAAAATTCTGTGACAAACGTTTTTAAATAATGCTTTTCAAAGTTAAAGATTCTAATGAATTACTCTCACCGTCCCAATATAAAAGGCACATATTCCTTTCTGGGTCGTCCCAATATAAAAGACATGTTTCCCGTTTTGCAAACAAAACAGTGCAAAACAGTGCCAAATAGTGTCAAACAGTGTCCAAACAATGTCCAAACAGTGTCAAACAGTGTTCCTCTTAAAAATGTTTGAAAAGGCAAATGTGCTCTTTATATTGGGACGGAGGGAGTATTTGCAATTGACTATGTCTTAAGAAAGACGTAATGGGTTAGCAATTTTAAGTATTGAGCATGAGATATTGGGAAAGGCTGATTATGAAGCAATTATTGATGTTTTCGCTTCACAATGTTCGGCGAGAAAGATTTTTAAGCAATATTTTTCTTTTACGTGATACTTGTGTTGTTATTTTTCACCAAATATGTATTTTATATGATAACAATAAAATGAGATTCATTTTTATTGTATGACCTTTATTAGATAATTTTATTACAATTATTATTTTAAATAACTATAGTTTATTGTTTGTCTTGAATATAAGCCGAAAATATTATCTCGCCCATAGGCCCGAAAATAGACAGGACCGGCCCTGCTCTAGGGTGAAATATAGAAGTGTTATCCGAGATGAAATGTGAAGAAGGGGAAAGTAGGGTAGCTAATACTACGTATATGAGGAATTGAGAACTTTAGACGGTGAATTAGGGATGGTTCACTTGAGCTGAAAATTTATGATATGATATGATCTGTTTTAGTCTCATCTAATCTAATTTGTTTGAGCATTTCTTGTTCGGGTAAATAATGCCTACTGTGTTTCACTACTATTTAGTTCTGATAGGATCTATTTAAATTTGTTGTAATCTAACCTGCTTAAGTCTAGCTTTGAACTGTAAAAGTACAAGAGAAAGCATTTGAATGATAAAAGAATAACGTAACTAATGATAAACGACCATTCAAATAAAAAGTAAAAGAGACCGTAAAGTTCACTATAGGCATCATTTTATTTAATTTTTTAACACGAAAATCCAAATGTGAACAAATATGTGATATTATTGTATAAACGTTATGTGGTTAGAACATGGTGTAATTCATACACAATTTGTATATAAGATAAATATGCCGTTTAAGTTAGAAATAGGAAAAATGGACATTGATAATTCCAACTATTAGTGATTTGCTAGAAATAATCTCAATTCTCGAGTATTAGGGCTTGTTTACTAACAGAGATATTTTCATGTTTTCTACTTCTGTTTTTCGTTCTCCAATTTTCTGTTTTTATTTTTAAGTTTTTCTATCTCCAATGTTATGTTTCTATTTTTTAGTTTTCCATTTTCAAATCTGAAAACATGTTCATCAATTTTTTCACTCAGTTTTGTGATCATCCAGAAGACTGATGACACATTTACTTCACAGGTTACTAAATAGTGCTTATTAAGGCCTGCGTTAATAAGCGGCGCATTAAATAAGCAATGTTGTAAGATCATGTTTACTTCAAAAGGTTTAAAACACCGTTTAACATTAAAATGTCCAAATTAATAACCCTATACATATATAGACACACACAAACATTCATTAACCCAAATATATAATATAATATGTGGGGTCAATCACCTCGTACGTGTACTCATACCCCTAACCCCTACCCCGCCCCTATACCTCGTACCCCCACCCTACACCCAATTCCACACCCTTGACCCCTACCCCTACCCTTACCACGATCTTACACTATACCCATGTTCCCCTACAACCATTCATACCCACCCATACCTACTCATAGGGGTCGGGGTAGGGAAGGTATGGGTGGGAGTGGGGTATGGTCGGGGTGGGGTGGTAAGGTCTAGGGGTAGGGGATGGGGGTAGTGGGTGGGTTAGGGTCATGGTTAGGGGTAAGGGTAGTGGGTAGGGTTGGGGTTGAGGTAAGGTAGGGGTAGGGAGTTGGGGTAGGATGGCGTTAGGTTGGGGCCGAGGTAGGGGAAGGGTGGGGGGTAGGATGGCGGTGGGGATAAGATGGCGGTAGGGTGCGGGTAGGATGGCGGTAGGGTGGGGCCGAGGTAGGGGCATGTGGTAAGGGGTAAGGTAGGGGTAAGGGGTAATATACGAGGGTGGGGTAGGGTAGGGTGGGTCGGGGTGGGGTCGAAGTAGGGGCATGTGGTAGAGGGTGGAGTAGGGTCATTGTAGGGAAAAAGGGTACGCGGGGTGGGGGTTGGGTGGGTAGGGTAGGGGTAAGGGGTAAGGTACAAGGATGGAGGTACCAGAATGGAATCAACATCGGAGCGGGACCAGACCCACCACTAGGTGTAAGTATGCAAATTCATTGCACCGGTACCGTAGTATCCGCGTTTTCCAAATTTGGAAAACTAGTAAAAGTCACTTCTCCAAATCATTAAGGAAAAGAGAGACATGACTCATTTTTTTCGTTTTTGAAAACGATTTGGTAAAGGTATTTTTCTGTTTTCCTTTCTCCAGTTTTCGAGCAATTTTCTTTGGTACTTTTCATGAAACGTATTTTACATTTCATGTTTCTTGTTTTCCAGTTTTCCAGTTTTCTCAAAATAGACCCTTAATTTTCTCAAAATAATCCCAACTATTGAAAAAATATCTCAAAATACTCAAGTGACTTATAATAACTCCTAAATTGTTTATAACGTTTACAAGCCAATGGAGTACTTTGAGAAGTTTTTTTCAAATAGTTGAGATTATTTTGAGATAATTGATACTTTTGATTATTTTAAACGGATCACTGATAGTTGGGATTATTCTTGTTCATTTTTCCTCAGAAATAAAAGCACGTTTTAGTGAATAACATAATCACAAAACTATTCTTTAGCACATACTCATGTTAGATTTCGTAATTTTAATTTTTTTTTCAGGAGCGACAAAGATTTCGTAATTTTAATTTAAGAAACAAGTACCTTTTTTGATTAATTAATAAATATGTTTATTAATTAAGCATTAAAACTAGCTAATTAATTATTAATTCATCAGACGAAGTCTGATCATTGTTTTTGTAAATTGATAATTATATGATTGCATTTCTCTATAATTAGTTAAATTGTTTCTCTATATCTCAAATTGTTTGGAACTAGCTAGCAAGAAAATAACACAATAATGAAGCCAACTACGTGAAAATTAATGAATACACAAAATATAAAGACCTTGATACAGTGAT